AGCAATCAGGACAGATTTCCTCGTTTGGCAAAACTCAGCAGAAGGTACTTAGCTGTTCCAGCAACCAGCACTCCCAGCGAAATAATTTTCTTTCTTGATGGGAATACCATTACGCAAAAAAGAGCAAGCCTTCATCAGGCTCATGTTGATGCTCTGTTTTTTTTTACATGTAAACCAGGATCAAAAACCAAAAACTATAAATGAGGAGACTATTGACAGCGAGTGAACTTTATTTAATCCACTGGTCCCGTTTTGAGTTTTGTTTTTTTACGTGCCACACGTTTCTTTCACTTTTGCAGCTTAATAATAGTTTTGGTTTTCCTGACTTGCATACGCCCAATGTTTGGTTGTTCTTTTTTTTTTTGTAAATAATAAAATATATATATATATATATATTTTTTTTTTGCAATTTTTTTTTTTTTTTTTTGCAAATATGTTATAGACGAGTTCCTATGACGTCATAGACTAGTCGATGTCTACTCGACTTTATTACGTTAAAGTCGACTTTAAAAATCATGTAGTCAATCAACCGCTAGTTTAGCGTAGATGCTAAATACTCTTTAACATATTAAACTGTGAACTAACCTTTGTTATGGGTAATCTCTACGTCAATTCATGAATGAAAAATTTAAACATTTAGCCGTTTTTGTGACACATGATCCTCTGTTTGTCAGCATGAGCTTTGACTTTATAAAATTGAACAAGGTGTGTTGAGATCCATTATAGTCAAAAAGCTCTCTATTTTGTGAACTAGTAAAACGGACCAGTTTTAAGAGACATGGTTTGAACTTTCCTTAAGAACCAATACTAAAATCCTGGTTTTCATTCATCTCTTTCAAGTTTTATTTTCATATGATGATGTTAAGGGCCAGTGTGAGATTTCTCAAAGACCACTTCTCACCCCTGGGCCTAATTCTGTCTGTATATAAATACAGACCTCTTGCTGTTTGTAGGATGTGTAGGAAAATTAATGTCTATCTTCCTATTAGACTGACGTCTATTGATGAGCTGGACTGCAGTTTCAACGAGATCGAAGCCTTGCCCTCCTCCATCGGTCAGTGTGTCGGCATTCGCACCTTTGCTGCAGATCACAACTTCCTTAGCCAGCTTCCCCCTGAGGTGAGCATGTTTGTCGCTACATGAAGTGTCTGTGGGTTTGCTCAGTTTGCCGTGCTGGCTCATGACTCAGGAATCCTTGGCTTGTTCTTCTCACAGCTGGGCAACTGGAAGAACGCAACTGTGCTGTTTCTGCATTCCAACAAGCTGGAGTCTTTGCCTGAGGAGATGGGGGACATGCAGAAGCTCAAAGTTATCAACCTGAGCAACAACAAGTGAGTCTCGACTGTTAAAGGGCAAAAGTTCCTTTTTTTATTATTATTATTATAATTTATTTCATTTCATCTGTTTCTGTTGTAGTCTGATTTTTATTTTTATTTTTTTTAGATTTGTCCAAGTAAAACGATACAAAGCATCATAATAAGGCTGAGGAAGTTTTTATGATATTTCAATTACATTTTATTGAGACAACGGTTGTTAAAATAAAGGCCTTGCATTTCTTTAAAGAATCAAGTCTTTCATGCCAGATTTAGGCTCCAGTCGACCTGAGAAATGAGGCTGTTTTGGTCAAAGCTTCAAAATAAAAATGCATGCAACATTATAAGAGCTTTTTTATATTGTGTGTTGTGATCGACTCTAAGCTACTACATCAGTTTTTAGATTAACATTTGTTGGAGTAGTAGAGTAGTATTTGTAAAGATAGTTATAGACATTTTTGGTTTTGTCTTAATTCTGTCTGAAAATAAATTAAATTTGTTTGAATTTACTCAATTTAGCCCACAACTGCACAGAATTGTTTTTTTTTACAAGTCAGGAAGTAGACATTAGCAAATGATTTCAAGTAATTGAAGCTAGAGGACAATCTTCAGTCGTTGTGTTTTTTTTTTTTTTTGCAGATTAAAGAGTCTTCCCTACAGTTTCACCAAACTCAGTGAGATGACTGCTATGTGGCTGTCTGAAAACCAGGTAGGACCAAAAGTATTGTTTTATATAAAGTGCTACATGAATCATTACTGCCTTATGAGTCACGATAACACCTGCAGAGTCAGTGACTCGCTGCCGTAAATGAAGAAGCGAGGCTCCTCACAGGAAAATGTTTGAAACGCACTTAACCACCAGGATTTAATCTAAACTTGTCAGACGGCTGTTCAGGTCAGCTACAGACACCCAAAACTCTGTTCCAGAATGTAGGAGGATCCCATTGATTGTCAGAAAATGAGATTCTTATCCTAAAAGACACAGTAAGAAGTTGTGTTTACCTTGAGAACAGTATGTGTCTGAATGAGGTCAGACCAGTTTTTTAAACAAGACCCATACATCAGATTTATTTAGTTGGTTGATGCTTTTAGTATTTGTAATTTATACTCTTTTCTTAAGGTAAATTTTCTGTTTCCCTAAAAACAACTTGGTAAACAAAGTGCCATGTAAGACATCTGTACACTTTCATGAAATTTAAGATGATAAAGAAATAATAAGAATTTCAGTCTTTGTCCAACAAAATTGTTCTCATAAAGACCGCAGCACTCAGTTTTGTACTCTACACTGGCAGGATTTCAGAGAAAACCACGTCTTATAGCAGCATGAATGAAAGAAGACAAAAATACATGTCATGATGTACAGTAGTCCCTCTCTACTTCACGGTGCGTTTTTCGTAGACTCGCTTTATCGCGGTTTTTCAGAGTAAGATTAGACATGACACACAATTGGCTGATTGATGGATGAGCCGCACGAACGGAATGGAATTTTTATTCAAAATAAATTATTTTAATTTATTTAGCACCTGTGTGCGGCCCACACTGCAGGAAAAACTTCCTCCTGCAGCGTGTCAGGATCTCCGTTCTGCGGCTGAGAAGTCGACATGGCCAAGAGCGCTGGCAGGTGACAGAGCAGCTGGTGGCAGGTGACAGAGCAGCCGTGGCATGTGACAGAGCAGCCGGTGGCAGGTGACAGAGCAGCCGGTGGCAGGTGACAGAGCAGCCGGTGGCAGGTGACAGAGCAGCCTGTGGCCGGTGACAGAGCAGCCGGTGGCAGGTAACAGAGCAGCCTGTGGCAGGTGACAGAGCAGCAGGTGGCAGGTGACAGAGCAGCCGGTGGCAGGTGACAGAGCAGC